AGTTGAAAATAAAAATTGAAAAAACAAAACAGTATTAATAATATAATCACTGAACCATTTATGAAATTAATTCTCACAAATATTACATTGTATTTCATTATAATTTTAAGATTTGTTGAACATTAATTAATTAATTAATCATATCATGTGATTATAATGGGAACATAAACCAAACTTGATGGCTTATGTCATGCTTAACATGTGATGGTTTGTCGGCAGGGTTGAATGGTTGATCAAACCTGAAAAAGTAGCAAACGGCGGCGTTTTTTATATTATCATAGCAAAGATATTGTAATTAATTAAAGCTATGATATGATATGGTTTTTATGGTTTTAATCAGTATGTATATTTAAAAATATTCAAATTTCAAATGAAGCTTTAATTTTAATTTTAGTAAGGACTGTCTCTTTCGTGATTTAGGGTTGACAGTATCATTTATACTCTATAATAACTAACGTCTCAAAAATACAAAAAAAAAAAAAAAAAAAAAAGTTTTGAATTGATTTTAAAATCATCTGCAGGCCTTCATTCATATTTTTAATAATTATTTTGTCAATTTCAAGCAACATATAAAATTTGGACCAGTTATACTATGAATCATGATCCACATTACAAGGTGGACCGTTGATAAATGTTCATGTTAAATAGTACATTAAAAATAAACCTTCAGTATATTAAAAATAAACTTTTAATATATTAAAAATGAATTTGTATGTCTGCAATGATCTACAACATAACCACTGTTAAAAAAAAAAAATTGCAACTTATTGAGAGAGGGATATGATTATTCTCAAAATTTTATTTGGATTTTATTTTTGGTGTTATCAACATATATATACTTTTAATTCAAAAAATACTTTTAATTGAAACTCCGATTTAAAACCACAAGCGAAATTTTAGAAATTGTGGTAAAAACTTATTAATATGACAATTTCTGAAGGCAATTTTTTCAAAATCAAAAATCAAAAAATCATTTTTCTTTAAAAAAAAAAAAACCCCAAAATGATTGTTTTTATGCAAATGTAAACTAAATAATTAAATTTGATAAAGACAAAATTGAAGTTGAAACAAAACAAGGTACAATAATATATATATATATATATATATATATATATATATATATATATATATATATATATTTCTAAAATCATATGTAAAATTATAACGAGTTAGAGTTATAATAAGGATGTATTTTGTTCACGGAATATGAGATCACCTTGAGTAATATAATATTTTGTAAGACGTAATATGAGATTATCGGAATGTAAGATGAACATATGTGTTTAGTTTAAATTATGAGAATGTAATTAAATTACCTTCAAAGTTCGAATAAGACGGAATACAATAATATATTTCCAAATTTCAAGAAATGTTTATATTAGGTATATATATAACACAAGAAGAATTATGAATGAGATTATGAGAACGTGTAAAATTATAAGTTAGAGTTAAATACATACAGATATAACTCTATAATCTGTATGTATAAACAGTTATATACATATAGTCATATAGATATATATATATATATATATATATAGGTAATTAATAGTCTTGAATCTTCATAGCTGTTCACATTTCACACTTGTGACTCATTGGCTCGAGCACCTTTCCAAATGATTGGAGCTACAATCCTCCATACTGCAAAAGTGCCAAAACCTTTACTCATTAAGAATGTTGTCTTGGGGGTTTGATTCTTACTATAAAACAACGAGGGTCAAGTTCTCGTGCTGACAATATTTTCTATGTGATTACGCATTATTACTTTATTAGGTATGTATAAATGCACCACAAAGTATTCAAAAATGCATTATCAGGTTTAGTACATTTTGTTTAGTGTGTGGTGTATTTTTGAACACTGTGTGCTGCATTTATGCATACCTAATAGTGCAATCTGTACAGACGGCACCAAATTATGCTGTGCAACCGAATGCACCTTGCAAGGTGCATACGGTTGCAAAACGGCGCCGTTTTGGTTAAAAAACGCGCGTCCCACTTAAAGAAGAAATCAGGTTCAATTCCCGGCAATAGCATTTTTATATATGCAGAAATTCATAACTATATATCCACAAATTCATAACTATATATCCACAGTGAATGAATAAAGTAAAAATCCACAATGAATGAACTAAATATCCACAATGATTGAACTAAATATCCACAATGAATGAACTAAATATCCAGAAATTCATAACTATATATCCATAAATTCATAACTATATATCCACAATGAATGAATGAAGTAAATATCTACAATGAATGAACTAAATATCCACAATGAATGAACTAAATATCCATAAATTCATAACTATATATCCACAAATTTATAACTATATATCCAGAAATTCATAACTATATATCCACAATAATGCTATTGCCGAGAATCAAACCTGTTTTTTTTTTTTTAAGTGGGACGCGCGTTTTTAGTCAAAACGACGTCGTTTTGCATCGTATGCACCATGCGCATGGTACATTCGGTTGCACAGCATAAGTATTGCGGTAAGCCCTATCCTCATTTGAACCAATATAATTATTTAAAAAAAAAAAAAACTAAATTCTTAAGGCACTTACGGTAAACGCCAGCTGCGACCCACTCGTTGACTATCCTAACCCAAGTGCTGGTCCACCCAATATCAATTGTAAGCCTGCGATCACACATCAAAATATAATGTTGTAAATTCAAACCTTAACCAGATCGAATGGTTAGTACGTTGTGTTTGTAGTTTATTATATGTATAATGTATAATGTATAATGTTGAATGAATTTGAAGTGCTGATGAGAAGTGGGGATTTAATTACTTTGTGGTGGGATTCTTGGCATTCCATCCAACTAACAGCATTGCAAAATACATGGCTCCAGTGGCAAAAACAAAATGGAAGAATCCATATCCGTACGGAACATCATCCTCTTCCTCTTGTTCATTCCTTAACTGCACCGTTTTTAAGGGTAAGCATATATAAAAAAAAAAAAACAGCAATCATATATTGATCAATCGTTATATCCTACACCACGGCGCACATAGCACTGTGCGCCGCGCACCTCCCAAAACGACGTCGTTTTGGGGTAGTGTTGGGAGGTGCGGTAGGAAGTTGCTGAGATTATGTGTATTTGTTCACAACGTTATGTGTATTTGTTCACAACGTTATGTGTATTGGTTCATACAGTTATGTGTATTTTTTATACAGTTATGTTCATTCTTTTTATACAATTATGTACATCCGAATCAGAAAATTTGTGTGTATTATGTTAAGAGTTGATGTGTATTATGTTAAAAGTTTATGTTTATTATGTATTATGTTAGATTATGTGTATTATCTTTTAAAAAGAGTATGTATATTTTGTTATATAATTATGTACATTCATGTATAACATTATGTGTATTCTAGTATAACATTATGTACATTCTTGAACAGCGGGTTTTTTTTTTAAAGAAAAAACTGCTACCATTCACTGGGGCGGGAAATTTCAAAAAAAAAAATAATTAAAACGACGTCGTTTTGCATCTGGGCGCATAGTGCAACGCGCGCCGTGGTGTATGATATAAATTGCCTATATTGATGGATATATTAACAATGGGTTTAGAACAAACCAGCCCAGATGGATGCTAGGAGAACTCACAATCTTTATGCTGTGCAACCGTGTGCACCATGCATGGTGCACTCGGTTGCTAACGATGCCGTTTCACTATGGTGGAGTAATGGTGCCGTTAGTGGCACCACTTAACTCTCCCAATCAATTTTTTTATTTTAAAAAAAAAAAAACTCCAATCGACGGGATTTCCACCATTTTCGGTGTGGATGTATAGTTCACTAATTCTAGATATGTAGTTCACTAATTCTGGATATATAGTTCATTACTTCTGGATACATAGTTCACTAATTCTGGATATATAGTTCATTACTTCTGGATACATAGTTCAGTAATTCTGGATATATAGTTCATTAGTTCTGGATATATAGTTCACTAATTCTGAATTTATAGTTCATTAATTCTGCATATATAGTTCATTAATTCTGAATACACAGACACAATAAACTGTCATAAGCCAAAACAGAGTACCAGTAACCGGTGTGGATATATAGTTCACTAATTCTGGATATATAGTTCATTAATTCTAGATATATAGTTCATTAATTCTGGATATATAGTTCAATTATGCACAACATAACGTCGTTAACGGCAATCGAAAATATATATATATATATATATATATATATATATATATATATATATATATATATATATATATATATATATATATATATATATATATATATATATATATATATACATATACATATATATTTTAAAGTCGGATGTCAAAATGACGCTGTTTTTGCTGCATGGTGCACACGGTTGCACGTCATAATTTGCCGAGAACTGAAAACCTGGGAGGAGACAAACCAACCTAGACTAGGCCGACCACAAGGTTGGCCCAAGATGGTTTGACCTTAGCTATTGGGGTATTGGGGTTGGGTCAGCCCCGTGGGCCAAGGCCAATCACAATTGTTATGCCATGGACCCGGGACCCATGTTCAAACCAACGCAGTTTGCGCGTGTGAAAATAACGTTGTCGTTAGTGGCACCGTTTCCTCATCCAATTATTTTTTTTAAAAAAAAAGAATTATTGAAAACAACTCAACGAGTGAATATTCATTTATGTAATTGTGAATATAGAGTTCAAAAATTATGAATATAGAAGAACCAATTCTGAAGACAAACGGCAAGTTAACAGCAATTTTTTTTTTAAAAAAAAAATACAGACGGACGCCGTTTTGGACTCGGGTCCACAACATAATTTGCCGGCTGATCACGAGGTCGGCTCAAGGGGTACACCCGAGCTCATGAGGTCGGGTTGGCGTCCCTAAGGTCGACTGGAGCGAGCGTAAGGTGGGGTCAAATTGAAGCCGTAACCACCCGCCCCGAAGTCCCGAACAGGTGGCGCCTGAACGTCGCAAAGTTACGAGGAGGAGCCGGGTATAAAACTAAGTCATTTATCCTTGTTGAATGATTAATACAAGGGAAAATTGTAAAAAATGTCCCTCTATAATATGTCAATTATCAATGTCACCCCTGAATTATGAGTGGTGTAAATGTTGCCCCTCAATTATCAAAACGGTGCACATATAGCCCCCCCCCCCCCCCCCTCCCGTAACGGACATGTGGTTCCCCGTTAGTGTACGACATCGTTAAGTTGGAGTAAATATGTAATTTAGTTGTTTTTTCCTCCCTCGATTCGAAGTACCAAAGATGACAACGGTGGGGAACCACAGGTCTGTTACGGGAGGGGCTATATGTGCACCATTTTGATAATTGAGGGGGCAATCTTTACATAACTCATAATTCAGTGGTGACATTGATAATTGACATATTATAGAGGGGCATTTTTTACAATTTTCCCTTAATACAATATTAAGGGTCCGTTTGAAAAGCAGGAAAATGACTTCTGCAAAATGTTTTCTAGAAAATTAGTCATTTTCTTTTTCCGTGTTTGGTTGCATTTTGAAAAACTTGGTGTGTTTAGTTTATTTTCTGGAAACATGAGTAGAATTGTATGCTTAAACATTTTGGCAGAAAATGACTCCCCCCAAATTTTGGCAGAAGTCATTTTCCGCCAAAATGGCTTCATTTTCCACCAGTCAACGAAAAATATTTTCCGTTGACTGAATTTTCCTATTGCATCTAAACACTGAAAACTCGAAAAACATTTTTCAAAAGTCATTTTCCGTGTTTCCAAACGGACCCTAGCTAAGACATTTTGTCTCTCCCAAATACAATATTGTCTTCGCATTCCTTTATCCTTTAATTAATCAAAACTTTGTGATTCGGACCCTGAATTAATTAAATCCATCATCTATAATAGTATTCCTTCTATTCTTTTCTTTGTGTTTGCAACAATATCAGTTTCAATACATTTATGTTATGCAACTTTGTACTTTAATTTTCTACATTATTGTTGTCACATATATTGCAGTAATTTCATGTGTAATTGGGAAAGAGATCGGAGCTGATACCTGAAAGCTTTTGGAATCAATGCCGGTTGAAAACGTTGCAATCACAATTGCCATTACTGCCACACCAAAGCTCTGTCAACATTACACAAACAAATCACCACTCACTACTAATTCCCAACAAACCCCGCACCGAATATACTAATAACTTTCCCACATTTTAATTAAATCGGGTATTTAAAATTCGTGAAAAGACAAATTTATGAGTTAGAAGAGTTACTATGATGGTGATAACTTTTACTTCAGAATCATCATATGCCTTTTCACTGTGAAGAAGACAGAAATGCAACCATTAGGGAAGTTGTTCCTTGGGAAAAAACCAGACATAACATTAGTAATTACAAGGTTATAAGTTCGACTCCAAACGGGAGCAATAATCTATTTCTCTTTTTGGTTTGAGTCTGTCAACTATAGACAATCAAGACTGGTTTTGATTTACCTAGTGCACACTGCCTAATACGTCGTCGTACCATACTAAGCTTTAGTAAACCCTAGGAAAGATCAAATATTTCGGGCGGGTCGGATGTGGTTTTTGTCTACCCTATTCGACCCCGTAATCCGGCGTCGTTTCAGGACGCGGATCGGATTTCTGATGTCGGTTTCGGCCCGGGTTCGGAAACGTTGCATCGGATCTCGGGTCGGGCGGGTATTTCGGATGGGGTCGGTTTTGCACAGCCCTAGTGCACACTCTCGAATAATGGTTGCAGTTACCTCAACACTCAAAACAAAAAATGTAAATGTAAAAAGTGCATTATTTTGAATCTTGCCTTCTGATGGCAGACCAGCAGAGGAACAGAACATAAAGTCCCATGAGACTTGAAGTCAGAAACCCTGCATTCACCTGTTCCCACCACACACACACACACACATGATCCAACTCAAACACACAACCAAACAAATTAAACCTCGGGACAACTGAAGGATGCGTTCTGTTTCAACTTACTTCAGGCCGGATAGAAACAATGGTCATGAGGTGGACGAGCACAGCCGTCGTCAAGATGAAAGCAATGTTTCGAGTGCCAGCACCTTCTATAATGTACATCAAGATGATCCCGAGTATGCACACAACATACGCGGTTGCACCAAGGATCATCGCGTGTAAACGCCTGCAACAACAACACCATTTTTCCCATCAAAAACTCAAACTAGATACCTAGGAAAGATCCCAACAGTGATTAAGGTTGTAACAAAGGTTGTCATCACCATGAATCTGCATACTCGTCGGAGTGGCAAAAATCGTTTAGCCAAGTGATGAAACTGATTATACTAACAAGCTGGACTAGTAAAAACACCCTGCAAAACACACAGATTCAGACAGCCTCATCAACAAGAATATAATGCACATTTTCTTTCAATCTTATAAGGTTTAACTTAGATTGAATATGCACATACATACCCAGCTCCAAAGTGTGAAAGATGGCCTGTTAAAAGCACATGCAAGACAGTAAGAAAATTTAGAGTTTGAGATGAAATCTGCAGGTTCAAGGTAGAGGTAAATGTGCTAACTAACCATAGACCTCAATAAGATCAGATGGAAGAAAAAATGGCAGGAGAGTTAGTGCAATCATCATAGGAATCTTGGCAAACCACCACCTTGAGTGCCATGTTTCTCTTCTATCCATCAACTTTGTAGTGCCTAATGTGGACACAAACATCAAGAAGTAGAACATCTAAACACGGTATGTATGTCAAGGATTACTACTGTAGCCCGCACGGGCTTAGCTCAATGGTTCAGTGGGTAATATTTGGGAAAAGCGGCCAAGGTTCGAAATTATGTCCAAAGTTGGCAGATTCTTTGTGCGCACCTGCATTTGACCCTGTCCACTGAACTATTGAGTTACCATGATTTACATCCTCCCAAATACTCTGTCGGGCCGGAGTGTGGAAGCCTTAGGGTTGGAGATTCAACCTTTTGGGAGAAGGATTAGAACTGTAGTCGAGGCCTCGAGCATAATATATATAAATAATAAACGTGCAATCTCACTCAAAACGAGTTAGCTCGCTCCACTGCAAGCTTAATGTTTGGTGGGCTTTTGGGGACCAGCCCACAAAGCACGTGGGCTAGAGTTCAAGTAACCCTAACCTGCTCCACATGGGCCGGCCCACGGGTTAGACAAATAAGCTCAATGATTTTTTTTTTTTAAAGAGAAAAATTATAGTTAACAATTAAAATGAAGGATACAAAACAGCCCATGCTCACTCTGAGAACTCCCACTCTACCTAAGCAATACTTTTCACCGTCATAGCAGTCATTAGGCCCTGCACCATCATATCCATTCAAACAATCAATTGCATGCCACTCAACATACACAGTCTTGACACAAGATATATAAAATGGTGCAAATGAATTACTCTTGAAATGGCTGAGAGTTTTCGGGCCATAATCGCGAACGATCCACGCGAGCAAAGTCGCCAGCAGAAACATGAAACTGTAAACATATCTAGCCATCCAAGGATTGGAGCCACTGAGGAATTGGTTGAACCAAGAACCTTGCTTCACAGTTGCATAACGGCCATCACTGATGATACTGTTACTTGTTGTAGAAGTCTCCATTTCAAGAACTGGAAGGAATTTTCATGCCATTATTATTGCTTCTTCTGATCTTCTCCACCTAATCACAGATTGACCATACATTATTTCAAGTAGTTCAGTTTTGTTGTTTGCATGCAATTTGTACCTTAAATATGTCAAAAGAGATAGAATACAAAAAACAATAGGGTGATTAATGGATTATGATGATTACAAGTTCAATGTTGTTGTGTTGCTGACCAAACAACCTTAAAAACAAGGGGGTTGTGGTTAACGTACTCCTGGATGATTCCTGGATATTCTCTCATTGTTACTTTGTGATTCACAACAAAAGTATAAAGTTGAGAGAGATGTCCGAACCTGACCCAGTACGAGGCCAGATAGTAAAGCTCTGAATTGGACATGTCAGGCCCATACCTATAGCCCAAAACACGTTTTGAGTTGCTAAAGGAAATTTATATGATGGACCAAGGTCCACATAGCATTATGGACCATGGATTGAAACGAGCTATAGAATTCATACTTGTAAGTTAAAGAATTTCATAACACAAAATACAAAAAATCACAACACAAAACACACAGCATAGCATTATGGACCCAGCTGAATTGAAAAGACGAGGTACAGAATTCATACTCGTAACGTACAGAATTTCATAACATAAGAAACAACAAATCATAACACAAGACACATACACATATTATATGTTTACTTATTTTTTAAATCTGATTTAGGTACATATTTGTGTTCATAGGCATAAAATTTCATAACACAAAACACATAAATTCATAACATAAGGCACAATTACTAATTTGCGAATTCATACACATAAAGTACAAAATTTCATAACGCAAAACACAAACACATGAACTAGGGTCCATAGTGCAGTGTGAACCCTTGTCCATGGTATAACAATTGGTTGCTAAAGGATGAGGTAATAATACGACAAACTATACTATGAATTATACTACATGGACTCCTAATCTCTACTCTATCACTGTTATTTCTTGATGTGACAAACAATGATAAGTTATTTTTATCCACTGAGTCCCAAGAAAAATGTCTACATCAAAATTTTGTGTGAAAGTAGAATTTGGGAGCCCAAATAATATTTTCCTTATACTATATACCACATTGCAATGTGAGTCATGATCGAACCTAATAGCGGGTAAACGTGATCCTAATTGATAAAGGATCACAAGGAGGTAAACCAGCACATAATTTACCGATTCAAACCAAGAAGACCAATAGATCACTCTCGCTGAGAGTCAAACTTATTACTTATGGTTAGTAATTATTTGCTCAAATTCAAAAAAGGATAACATCAGAAAACATAATCGATCCAATCCATTTCATCAATTGCACTATGTAATATTTGTTGTTATAATTTATATAATTGTATATATCAGTCCAAATAATATAACAAATTCATAGGGTAAAAATATTAGTTTATAAATAATTATAAAATTTTAGGTTGAGCAATTATTCTTTCTTATCAAAAGCCAAAAAGCACATTCTTCTTTTTTTTTTCTTCTTCTTCTTCTTAACGTGCAGTCAATGTGACCACACCAATAGTTATGCAAATATGCACCAATAGTGTTAGAAAAACACAACAAAAATACACAAAAAAAAAAAAATAAATAAAAAATACACCATTAGGTATGCATAAAAGTACCACACAATGTTCAAAAATGCACAATTAGGTGTGGGGAGGTATGGTGCATTGGTGCATTTTTTTAGTGGTGTATTTGTGTATTTCATTGTTGTGCATTTTCCTAACACTATTGGTGTCTTTGTTAACACTAATTACAAAAAAAAAAAAAAAAAAAAAAAGTGTGTCCTGAAAGAAGAAGCAAAGGCTGAAAATGGCGCACCTTAAGTCTTAACATTGCGCACATTCAGTTTTAAAAATGGCGCACCTTAAGTGTTACAAAAACGCACCTTAATTAGTAAAATCACGCACCTTAAGCGTTAAAATGACGTACCTTAAGTGTAGAACTTATGCACCTTAAATGTATAACTGACGCATCTTAAATGTTTAAATGGCGTACCTTAAGTATTAAAAGGACGCACCTTAAGGTATAAAAAGACGCATCTTAAGATTTAGAATGGCGCACCTTAAGTTTAAACAAAAAACGCACCTTAAGTTCTCAACTGAAGAATTGACATACCTTAAGCACAGAAACCACGCACCTTAAGAAGGAAAACAGTGCACCTTAAGCACACAAACTACGCACTTTAAGTTTGACTAATACGCAAAAAGACCAAATTGCCACTGCATTTTTTTAATTTGTGTTTATCCTGAACGTTGATTTTGACTAGATCAAAGACTCTCATCTCACCCATGTTTCTCCTAGACACAACCTCCGCATCTGATCTCTCTTTTATATATATATATATATATATATATATATATATATATATATATATATATATATATATATATATATATATATATATATATAAAAGACTGCATAAAGAATAATGCCGACAATAATAAATTCAAGGCAATGATATACAGGGAAGGATTCATATGCCTAAAGAATCAACAAACAAACACCAAAGAAATTATTATTATTCTCAAGCTTTCAAATCCGGTGGGAATAAACTATTCCTATCTTATCTTCATCACCAAACGCCATCTTCATGTTTGAATAAATAAATAAGTAAATACATAAATATGGGGAGCATGAATTATGTTACTTTGATTTCCTGAAGACCAAATCAAGTTATTGGTGCAGTGGAGGGATATGCCAATGATTTTGAGGTTTCTAACAAGTCTCATAATTAGCAGTATTATATGGAGTAATTTTGGCTCAAAATAATAATATCATAATATCACAATATTCATTTGAATTGTCCCACATCGAATAATTAGAAAGAAAGAAACGAGGTTATGGCATTTTGAGTTCAACTAACAAATCAATTAGATTTAATATTTTGGTCTTAGTTTAATCTAAAAATTTATGAGCATAGTTCTTGTGACCAAGTTCTTTGTTGCCTTTGGGTTATTCTAGTATGCTTTTCATCTTTTAACATGTGATTTTTATTTTTTTTTCAAAATAGATTCAAATAACAATGTAATTTGAACTAGAACACGAGTTTATAATAGACTAATAATAACTAATTCTTCATTATAACGTAATTCATTGATGATTTTTGGAGAGTAATTCAATGCCTACCCGTCTTTTATGGCCGAATTATGTAATATTTAATGAAACTATTCATAATGGGCTGACTAGTTCACAAGTGAGGTTATTTTATCTCTCTCTCTCTCTCTCACACATACACACACACACACACACACACACACACACACACATATATATATATATATATAAAATAGAGATCAGATGCAGAGGGGGTGTTTAGGTGAAACATGCGGGTGGATGATAGGCATTAATCTTGTCAAAATCAACCGTCCAAATGTTTTTTAAAAAACGCGGTGACATGATCATTTTGCGTATTGTTGAAACTTAAGGTTCGTATTTTCTGTGCTTAAGGTGCATCGTTTTAATACTTAAGATGCTTCAGTTTTACACTTGATAACTTAAGGTGTGTTATTGTTGAAACTTAAGGTGCGTCTTTTAAAAGCTTAAGGTGTGTCCTTTTAACACTTAATGTGCGTCATTTTAACATTTAAGGTGCGTTAGTTATACACTTAAAGTGCGTAAGTTCTCCACTAAAGGTGCACCATTTTAACATCTAAAGTGCTTGATTTTACCATTTAAGGTGCGTCTTTGTAATACTTAAAGTGCGTCATTATAATACTTAAAGTGCTTCATTTTTAACACTGGAGGTGCGCCATTTTAACACTTTCAGTGCGTCATTCTAACACTTAAGGTGCTCCATTTTTACACTTTGCTTCTGCCAACTTCCAGGACGCGCGTTTAAAAAAAAAATATATATTTTCATTGATTTGAACCGTTGATCTAAATTTGATCAATGGCTCATATCTCATCGATTGCATATTTCACCTGGACCTCCTTCGCACCAGATCTCGTCCATATATATATATATATATATATATATATATATATATATATATATATATATATATATATATATATATAGAGAGAGAGAGAGAGAGAGAGAGAGAGAGAGAGAGACAATTTTATATTATCTATTTGACATATTATTGCTTGAGCAACTTATAGCAAGATTGAACAATTTATTTATAATTATTATAGGCATTAAAAAATTATAATATTTCTCTTAAATTTGACAATAACTAACATTTAAAAAATGAATATGAATACTAATTAATGACATTTGGCAAAATTTACATTGGATCCCATTTTATATATTTGGATGCATCCTACAAACAATACACACAAGGTTGAACACATATGGGAGAAGAAGGTTGAACACATATTCCTACTCAAATAATATGATACATATATATATTAATTCTGGGTGGACCTGGACCGTTAAACGGACAGAGAAAGACCCGGACCACAATGTGTGGTTGACACAAAAAAAATATATATATATTAATTCTGTGAAATGGCATTAATATACTCACCTACCCACAGCCTGTCGTTTGAGGATCTAAATAAATGTTACTTAATTCCCCATATTAAAAGGGGTAGAGTAGACGGGTAGTAGCTTAATCAAAACTAGTCAACCAACTTGCTTCAATTTATACTCCGTATTACTTAACATCTTTAATTTATGTGTAAACATATATATGTCATACCCCTAATTTAATTCTATTTTTGTGGTGTTAAAAGATTTGTATATTGTATATAATAAATATTGTATAATGTATCTTTTGTGAAAGAAAGTGTCCTAAATCTATTAAGTAATGTACCACAATCACTTATTCCGATCCCTCTTCTATGTTATATCCCAAAAATCATACAGGAGAGGTAAATCGTACTCGATCGAGGGCAATTCCAGCTGAGTTGGTCGGACAGTTGGTTTGGTAACTACAAGATTCCAAATTCGACTCCTTGTCGGAGCTATCTATTGCCCTACTTGATTTCATTCAATCAGCTATACCTAGTTTACTACCTTCTTATGAATCAAAGAGGTAAACTGTACTAGGAAGATTCTATGTAATACAAAAGTCATGCTCTACTCAATCGTACTCAATCGAGGGCAATTCTAGTTGAGTTGGTCAGACAGTTGGTTTGATAACTACAAGGTTTTAAATTCAACTCCTTGTGAGAGCTGCCTTTTGCCCTACTCGATTTGAGCCAATCAGCTATACCTAGTTTACCTTCTTGTGAATCAAAGAGGTAAACTGTACTAGGAAGATTCTGTGTAATACAAAAGTCATGCATGCTCTACTCACTCGACCACCACTTCTGAGGCTATTTCATGTGTTATTAATTCATGGGTCCATGACACCCTGTATTGATTTCAATTCCTATAAGGCCATAATGAAATTATACTTGTTCAAATTCAAATAAAAATAAATATTTTTTTTAAATAGTGGGCAACGACTAAGTATGCATATATTGATGGTGAAGCCTTAATGAAGATGAAATGTAATGAGAATATGAGATAAAGCCATAACATCCCATGTGAGGATGGCCTTAAACTTTGGTCCCATTCCAATTACATCACCATCCTTTGGACGGCTTGATTAGGCCATCTTATCATTTGTAAGTGTGGAGAAAATGACAATTTTTCTTCTTTTTCCCCCCTTCTTTCTCAAAAGGATTTCCTTCCAACTTAATTAAACTTCTTTCTTAAATTTACTCAATTCATTTGTATTGAAGAGTTTTAATGAGATTGTGAACTAATATGTAGTGTGATAGTACATTTATTATCATTTTAAATATGTGGTCATATGATTATCAAATCTTGGTGAACTGAAAAAGACAATTAATCACGGGACAATTGATAATATTTGGTTATGTATTATTTGTGTGTGGTCACTCATTTAGCAAAGAGAGAATGGAATTTTCTTATCACAATAGAACAAGAACAAAAGTACCATAGAATAGACAAAATGGCCAAGTCAACCTAAGCAAGTGACAAAAATGACTAAATGTTGTATGAGATGATATAATGACCTTTAGGCTACCAGGCAAATTATTCTGTAGACCCGAGTTCACCTTGCAAGGTGGATACGGGTCTAAAGATACATAATTTACCTATTAAATGTTCACAATTTATCTTTTTAAAAATTTACAATTTGTGATGACCATGTATTATATTCACAAATTCTCAAAACTTAAAAACAAAATTTATATTCTAAATATTCACAATTTCAATACTAAAAATATAAAATTTAGTCCAAGGTCCACCTTGCTGGTCCATGGTATAACAACTGAGGCTATCAATATTCAAATATAAAAACAAATATATATATATATATATATATATATATATATATATATATATATATATATATATATATATAGGGCTACACACACTTGTTTTTATAGTACCCAGTGCACTCAATCATACTATGAATGATTATGTTTGTTGCGAATTGTTGCTCAAAACACCTTAAAATTGTTACGGAGAAAGTAATATTTTGACATGAAAACGAAAATTTGAAACTCGAAAAAAGAATAGTATTTAAATTCTAGTGGTGCTTCATTTGAGTGGGGACTGAAAAGCAGGAAAAGCCATAGTGTGGAAGCATGATTCTTAAACACAGATTCACAACCTTTTTCGTAAAGTGGGAAAAACAACAGTGGAAAGATGAAACAAAACTACCATCCATGAAAATTAACAGTGAAAAATGTCCACACGGACTTAACTCAATGATTCAGTAAATAATATTTGAAAAAAGAAACTAAGATTCAAACCTCGACAACAGTGACAGTGATAATTATGCTCAAAGTGAACAGATCACTTGAGTCATTGAGTCATCGTGATTTACATCTATACAAATGCTCTGTCGGACCGGGAGATTCAACCTTTGGGAAAATTAACAGTGGAAAGTGTCAAATGTGGAATGCCCTTTTGTCCAACTTTGGAAGCACTATGCGTGATTGAAGGCAAATTATTAATTATTAAATAACATGCCAAAGTTGCAAACATCAATGCCAATGTGTGAACTTTAAGCAAACCCCCAAACACTTCTTTTAAATTTCAACCATTCTTGCTCATAATACTATTTTATTTTACTAGGTTCAAACCCAGACCTTATTTAAATATTGGAATTCAAATTTAGTTATACGGCTCCAATATCTCTATCATTGCAAGACAACCAAACCACTCCTACAAAATTTGAATCTTATTCCCAAAAAAAAAAAAAAAAAAAAAACCATCTCGAAACACATTTTTAAAATTTTCTTTTTGATCAATCGCAATGCGAACTTGGCATAAGTATATACTCTCAAGAGCACCAAAATCGTCACATTTTGAAAAACTAAGAGGTCTGTAATGGATTGAAATTGCTATTTCATATTAATATATGAATGAAAAACACTTTTTGGAGGACGAGTACATTAATTAATGGGCTTACCTAAAATGCATCAACCTGTCCAAGGTCATTCATGTGTAACAATGATGTTAGTCCAAAGACATAATGTAGTTGTTTATGGGCATGGGTGAGTGGGACGTAAAAGAGGGGGCAAAGTCACCCTAAATTCATGAATTTAAATGCCATGCCATCAACCGTTGGGAAAAATTCAATGGCAGCCATCAGCATCAATAAAGATGGAGTTTTATGATAAACAGCACATGAAATTCTAGCCACCACAGCATTGATAGAGACCAATTCCCCAAGCCCTTCTCACAAAAACAAATGCAACACATGCTGAGTCACAATCATACTCGGAAATAACCCTAAACGGCAAATGACCGGCCTAGATTGCTCATAGCTGACCAGTTCAAACTAAGAAGGTCAATAAGCCACTCCTATTGAGAGTCAAATTTGGTAACCGTAAGGCGACCCTAAACGGCAAATGACCAGCCTAGATTGCCTATAGCTGACCAACTCAAACTAAGAAGGTCAATAGGCCGCCACTCGTATTGAGAGTCAAACTTAGTAACCACAAAGTGACCCTAAACAGCAAATGACTAGCCTAGATTGCCCATAGCTAATCAGCTCAAACGAAGAAGGTCAATAAGCCACTCCTATTGAAGGTCAAACTTGGTAACGACTAGGTGACCCTAAACTGCAAATGACCAGCCTTGATTGCCCATAGCTGACCAGCTCAAACTAAGAAGGTCAATAAGCCACTCGTATTGAGAGTGGAACTTGGTAACCACAAGGTTAATAAGTTTACTGCATGACCAACTTGATTCGAGTTGCCCTAATCATACTTCGGTTTTGGTCTTGTTAATGAATAGATAGATGCAAGAAATGCAGGGGATATGATATGATGAAGAGAGAAGGGAACACAACACTATCTGGAATGAAAGAAAGGAATGATCTGAATGTTGAGGGCAAAAAATACAAGTAAAATGTTCATCATTATACTATAGAATTGAAGAACAAAATGAAGAAGCAAAAGTATGATGATAATAGGAAAAAGAAAGAAAGAAAAAAGATAATAACAATGAAATCAAGAGACCAGAATCAGCAGCAGCAAGCACTGCAAACTGGGTTTCTGCTCCAGATTATGGCATCTATACATACACTTCAATTCCCTGAAAGATAACCTACTCTCTTTTCTTCTCAGCCAATTCAATTTATTTTCTCCACAACCATAACAACATTTGCAAATTAATCTTCAGGAGAGAGCATTCTCCTCTTACCTCCTCTTCTAACTTTGCCTGAACAATCCAATCAGGTACAGCAATACTGGAATACAGATTACCCATTCCCAGCACCCATGTTGTTTAATTTGATCTCTACATTGATCTTTGTTTTGGGTTGGACAGGAATGAGTGGACAAAGAAGTATATTGTGACTGCAAATAACAATTGAAGCAATGACATCTAGTTTAATTGTAGGTATAGTTTGTGTCTTGAGGACTGGTTAGAGGAAAATTCTCTAAAGAATCAATAGAAGGGTGGAGGTGGAGGTGAAGCATATGAAACCCCGATGACCGGAGGTAAGGGTCCATGGAATTCTGGAGTCGGTGGTGGCGGGCTCTCATAGGTGATTGGTGGTGGGGGAGGATGTTCACAGGGCTCTGGAGGTGGTGGTGGAGGTGAGTGGTGGTAAACTGGGGGCGGCGGTGATGGTGAAGGCGGAGGTGGAGAGGGATAGTACACTGGGGGCGGCGGTGATGGCGATGGTGGAGGTGGAGAGGGATAGTACACAGGAGGAGGCGGTGATGGCGATGGAGGGGGTGGGGAATTGTAGTGGACTGGTGGTGGTGGGGGTGATGGAGATGGTGGCGGCAGGTAAACATAGGGAGGTGGTGGGGACGGTGGTGGGGGTGGCTCTATACAGGGAGGAGGGGGCGGTGGCGGCTCTATACATGGGACAGGTGATGGAGGAGGTGGAGAGTGGGGCGGAGGAGGTGAGGAGTAGACTGGGGGTGGAGGTGGTGATGGATAGACGTATGCCGGTGGTGGAGGCGGAGAATGCGGCGGTGGAGGCGGAGAATGTGGTGGCGGAGGTGGAGAATGTGGGGATGGAGGTGGCGGTGAATTATAATAGTAAGGGCTTGGTGGAGGAGGGGAATACAAAGGCGGTGGAGGCGGCGGAGAATTTGGTGGTGGAGGTGGTGGGGATCGCACACAGTAAGGCAGAGGCGACGGCGGAGGCGGTGATGGCGGTGGTGGTGATGGTGGAGGTGGAGACATAACTGGTGGAGGAGGTGATGGAGGTGGTGGAGACGGCGGAGGAGGTGATGGTGGAGGAGGAGACGGTGGCGGCGGCGGTGGAGAATAAACCGGCGGTGGCGGTGGAGGTGGTGAATAAACCGGCGGTGGCGGTGAAGGTGGGGGAGGCGGAGGAGAATAAACCGGTGGAGGTGGTGGGGGAGAATAAACAGGAGGCGGCGGTGGAGGAGAATAAACAGGAGGCGGCGGTGGAGGAGAATAAACAGGAGGCGGCGGAGAAACCGGAACAAAAACCGGCGGCGGAGGAGACGGCGGAGGAGGCGGCGGCAAAGCCGGAACAAACTTTTTACACCTGAAAGCCCCGCAATGAATTTTCTTGGACAAGAACGCCTTGCACTGAGCAGCACCCCGCTGGTTCGGCCGTGTCGGCAAGCAATTCCGGCGATCATCAAACGCCGGCAACGCCAAACAAGCCGGCGGTTCACCGGTAAAGAAGTTATAAGAGTAAGTAAAATTCTCAAGCCTGGGAAGCTTACATATACTCTGCGGTATCGTCCCGGAAAGCATGTTATGCCCCACATTGAACTGCTCCAAGCTAACCATCTCGCCAATCTTCTCCGGCAACGGCCCCAAAAGCTGGTTAAAGCTGACGTCAAACACCGTCACATTCTTCAACATCCCGATTTCCGGCGGAAAACAGGACCGCAATCCATTATTCATCAATATAATCTCATTCAGATTACTCATGTTCCCGATACTCGACGGCACACAGCCGTGGAACTTATTATTCGCCAGTACAATCACAGACACCGGAGAATTACCAAAATTATCCGGCAATTCAAAGGCGAAGCGGTTGTGGTTAATGAAGATAGCGTCCAAGGGCTTATCGAAGAGCTCCGACGGCACGGTGCCTTCAAATTCATTGAACCGGATGTCTAAATAGATCAATCTAGGCAAGCTGAGAACGACGTAAGGGAATTTACCGGCGAACCGATTGTTGCTGATGTCAAGCTCGAACAGAATCTTCAAGTTTTTGAACTTCTTCGGGATTGTGCCGCAGAAGCGGTTGGAATTGATGTGGAAAACCCCTAGATCTGCGAGCAGGCCGAGCTCCTCCGGGAGGTATCCGGCAATGTCGTCGTGGTTGAGGTCAATGCTGGCGACGGTCCGAATTTTAGGATTATCCGGCGCCGGCGCGCAGAAGACTCCGGTGTAGTTGCACACGTCTGACCCGACCCAATCCGAAGTGGTGTTCCGCGGATCCGAAATGATGGCCTGCTTCCAGGCCTGGAGAGCGATGTAAGCATTCCGGATCCTGTCGTTCTCGAACGTCAACGACGGGTCAACCGTGACCCGCTCGCCGCGGTCGCCGAACTCGTCGCGGTAGTACAGCAGCTGGCGGCGCTGGATGTAGTGGACCTCGGAGTCCGACAATGGGCCATTATCGGAAACCCTGAAAGCGGCGGCGGAGGCAGAAAACGAGAATGCGAGTAAAACAGAAGCTAAAAAAAAGCAGAAAGATGGAGCTCCGTTTTGCCTCATGTCAGCGCAGACATCAGTGGAAGCTTCAGGGAGGTTTGTTAATGGAGAAAGAGAGGAAATGTGGGTGGGAGAGATAGAGAGAGAGAGAGAGAGAGGAGAGAGATCTGAAGAAAAATGGAAATGGAGAAGTGAGATGGTGGAGAGAGAATGGAGGGTTTTATTTGGTTGCTAGGGATTTTGGGGGTGTGTGAATGGAGAAAGGATGAGGAAAGAAGAGAGAAGTGAAGACAGCTAAATCACAGCTCAAAGCCCACTAGATTCTCTCTCTCCTCCCTCTCTCTCTCTCTCATCAACTTTATTCTTTTGTATTTCTTCAATTGCCCTACCCAAAATGTCACACAACTATTAAAAAATTATATATATACACAATATTTATTTACATGCCCAACCAGTGTATCTCAGTTAGTTCGACTGATTACCTTAAAATCTGGTTCCAATAGAGGCAAAGTTGAAAAAATCGTTAGGCGCCTGGGTGCTGTCTAGGGCGCCTAGAGTAATTAATCGCCGCCTAGGTGACCGATCGTCTAGCGCCTAGGCCCGATTTTTTGTAACACAGTAGAGGTAAAGGGTGGGACGAGGCAATTTGCGATTTACTTAATCCAGCTATTTTTGAACAGGAATTCTGGAGATATAAAATTAGTCTGAAGTAAGCTAAAAAATCTAATGTATCAAAAAAAAAAAAAAAAAAAAAAAAAAAAAAAAACATTTACATCAACATTCAATCTTATAGTTGCATTAGTCTACCCACAACGGCTTCAAGTGAAAATATTTCAATTTTTATTAAGCAGAGGTTTAAAAGGTTAAGCTTACTATCTTGCTATTGAAATATAGTATGTAAATATACAAATATAAAGTTATTCATTTACTATTAGTTATACTATAAGCATATTGACAATAACCGATTGATAAAAGTATTAGTAATCTATTTGGTTTGTGTTCTTTCAAAAAAGTAGTCTATTTGGTGGATAATAATTGGTAAAACTGACCATATGACATAAACAAAGTCAATAATTAAGTGTTTAATGTCTTTTCACATAGCAATAAGTATAGGATTGAATTTCTGTACGCCTCACATTAGCTCCAATGTTGAACAACAGGAGTCAATAATAATTAAGAATAAGAAAAGAGTTTTAGGACTTTTAAATCTTTACTCATTAAATTTTACTCATTTCCTCTCTCAAAATGTTGAATTTATAATTCTAATGGCTCTCCATATTCCGGAGTGACAGAACATTTGAGATGATGTAAATTACAGTAACTCAATGACTCAGCATACATGGTCAAATATCGGTGCACACGATGTATCTATCAACTTTGGACATGATCCCACACTGTTACCGTCAAGATTCAAACATTGGTATCTTCTCTCAAATACTGCTTACTGAATCATTGAGTTAAGCTCATGCGAGCAATTTTACTCTATGATATGACGAGCACTGATAAGCTATTTTTTTCAAATGACTCCCAATACAAGTGTCTTCATCAAGATTTTGCGTGTGGAAATAAAAGTTAGGAGTAGAAAATGATAGTACAAATAGTATTTTTCATAAGAAAATGATACCAGTATTTTTAATGGTAAAATTTTTGCACATATTATGATTTTATAAATAAAAAAATGAATACAAATTGTAACATATTTTTAAATTAAACAAAAGTCAAAACATGTTATATAAGGAAAAAAAAAAAAAAAAACCAGAATTACGAATAGTACTACGCGTTAAATCGTTAATCGCAATAGGATTAATGAAAACACTAGCTAACAAGGTACTGGCAAGTGGATTAGTGGTAATATTGGTTCTATAATAACATAATAATATTCCATCGGAAGAGATGGCCGGCCGGCAGCCGGCGATTGATGCTGTTTTATAATTATATAATTATACATTCAAGACTTATTGGCATTTTAGAACTGATCGGGTAATATTTTTATTTAAATTTGTGTAATATTACGTGTATTCTTAATTTTTATTTTATTGTTACTCTCTATTAACATTTAGATTGATTTAGAAATAAAATGTGTGTCACGATTTTTATTCATTTCTTTTTCTCTCTCTCAATAAATTATGAATATCTAAAAATCTTATTATAAATTATGAGAAAAAAAAAATTTTGTGTGCAGTAAAAAATGATCGTGAAGATCAATGAAAGTGGAGACATTAACGTTAAATATAGAGCGTCAATGTTTTGCATTTTGTATTGGCGTTACGTTATTGGGCACCGTTGCATCTTTTTTATTATTTATTTATTTTTAAATTTTTAAAAGGAAATTTAAAAATTTTAAAGAGCAAACGCGTGGAAGATTGTCACAATCTAAGGGAGCTTTTTCTAATTTTCTTTTCCTTTTCTCTTTGTTTTCTTTTTTCTTAAATGCTTTTAGATTGTGAGTTTTTTAACTTATGCCTTGTATAGTTGTATTTTGACTATTTCATAATTTTTGCTTAGTAATATCATATTTACTCTTATTTTTTACCCTATTATTTTTACTCTTAATTTTAGGGGTTCAAAACAGATCGTCTCTGGCTATGAATTCGTCTCCATGGCTGGAGACGTCTTGCCGGAGACGAAGAAGTTATTTTCGCCTCCGGCCAAAGACGAAGAAGTTATCTACGTCTACATGGCCTGAGACGAAGAGACTCTTCGTCTCCAGCCATAGAGACAAAGATAACTTCTTTGTCTCCGGCGACGGAAACGATCTGTTTTTCTTTTAATTTAAATTTTAAATAATTAATATTTTAAAAAATATTTTAACTTAAATGTGACCTGCTAGCAATCTTGAAAACTTACAAATTAGACTAATTGCATGAAAATGGTTAGTTTATGGATCTAATTGTAACTTTTTTAGGTTCAGTGGTCTAATTGCATTATTGTGTGTAGTTCGATGGCCTATTTATGTTCTTGTAGAATAGTTATGTTTGAATAGGGCTCCACGACGATAGAGCCGTCGTTTTCGCCTGCCTCCGAGTGGAGAGTGGTGACAGAGCGGTAATTGGCGAGGTGGTGGTTGTTGTTAACGACGCTGAAGCTGATGACGTGGTGCTCCTTGTCGAGGATCTCAAGCCACTAAGTGTTGTTGCCGGTGGGGATGCCAGAGATGACGCGAACCTCGAAGGAGGGTGCCCACGTTGCCGTCTCCGACGATGACGTCGCAACTCTTCACGAAGTGCTTGTAGTGTTAGATATAAATAATCTAACTATACTAAACCATAGTATACGAGAAATCTGACCTCGTATGAGCGGAAACGATAGTCGTGTTAATCTCCATCCATAGTTGATGCCTGCTAGGGTTGCCTATTGAACAGTAAACCGTTAGTCATTATTTGCCTCATACTTGACTTAGAACCCTAGATGGTGTATTAGTGTCTACTGAACAGTATGAGTACCATAACTAAATGTGTTATATAATGACTAATCATGTATCCCATCAATCCATGTTTATATTAGACACATAGTTTGGTTGACTAACAACTTCTAGTTATTCAGTCCGACCAGACCACTTAATAAGCCTAGTCAACTTGCACCATTTAATTAAGACCCTAATATATAATATATAATATATATTATTATGAAAAATCTTACATGTAGGCCTGGGGGTTGTCGAAGCGGCGGACGACGGACCAAACGGTTGAGACGAGAGCAATCGTTGCCGGGGTCTCTGTGACTTGGGCGCAAGATATTGGCGATGACCGTTGTTGATGCAGTGGCTGAGATTGCTTATGAGTGGTGGAGGTGGCGGTGATGATGCTTTGAAGTAGAATAAAAGTCTTTGGTGGGTTCAGAGCCATTTTATTTTCAAGATGTAGTCACAACCCTCGCCGGCTTTGTTGTAGTGGAGCTCCGTCAAGATGCGATGCTATGGATGATCCCCAGGCACCAGAAACAATACATAATTTAATTTTTCAGTTAATATTTTAAAAATTTGAGGGTAAATTTGTCCTTTCAGTTATTTTTGGCCAAAAATTTGACCTGATGGATCAAAATTGAGAAAAATTAAATAGTTAAAGTACTAAATTGACTGTGTTGAAACTCATGGACTGAAATTAACAAGAGCACAATAGTCATAGGACCAAAAGTGAGATTAACTATATAAGTTTTCCAAAAGTTTTATAATATAAAGTGGGTACTAAACCAAACTTATGAATAAAATTAGATGCGTTGCGTAAAAATATATGCCCAATGTTTATATTTTTAAAAATAAATAATAAATTCTTACTAATTAAAATCTAAATGAAATACATTCAAAAAAAAAAATCTAAATGAAATAAAATTTATTTATTATATTAATCCAATATATAATATCTACAAATATTATCATCATTAAAGAATATAAGAAAAGATATGGTGAATGCATGTGCACAATAAAAATAATGAAAAAGATAACAGAAGTTATAACGGTAATTATATTTTTGTTCAAAAAAATTATATAGTATAACTCTAAAAATACAATGTACAAAATGGTTAACACAAAAAATATTAACATAAATTAGGAATATAACTTTGATTTAGACTTAGGGTCCGTTTGGAAAGCAGGAAAATGACTTCTGGAAAATGTTTTCTGGAAAATGAGTCATTTTCCGGAAAACATTTTCCTTTCCAGTGTTTGGTTGCATTCTGGAAAATTTTTTTTTGTGTGTTTGGTTCATTTTCTGGAAAATGAGTAGAATTGTATAATTAAACATTTTAATTATTTTATTTAGAATATTACAACATGTATAATAATATATAATAATATAATAATAATTTTAAATATAATAAAATAATAACTAATAATATATCAAAAATATTATGGTGGTGGTTGTGTTATTTGTTATATAACAACAACAATAATAATAATAATAATAATAATAATAATAATAATAATAATAATAATAATAATAATAATAATAACTGGTGGTGGTATGACAGTGGTGGTAGTGTGGTGGCGGTGGTTGTAATGGTATGGTGGTGGTGGAGGCGACGGTGGTTGCGGTGGTATGGTAGTGGTGGTGGTGGCGGTGGTATGGTCGTGGTGGTGGCGGCGGTGGTGTGATGGTGGTGGTGGTTGCGGTGGTATGGTGGTGGTGGCGGCAGCGGTGGTATGGTGATGGTGGTGGCGGCGACGGTGGTTGCGGTGGTATGGTGGCGGTGGCGGCGGCGGCGGTATGGTGGTGGTGGTGGTGGTGGCGGCGACGACGGTGGTGGTAGTGGTGGTGGTGGCGCGACAGTGGTTGCGGTGGTATGGTGGTGGTGGCGGCAGCGGTGGTATGGTGGTGGTGGTGGCGGCGACGATGGTT